AACTAGACAGGCTAATAACGAAAAGTAATCTTAAAAAACCTCAAGGAACCACAAATATTACGGGAGATGTAAATAATATCTAACAATCTAATTTAGTTTGTAATAAGATTAAAATGTAGCTCCTAAAAGTATGCTCGCTTATACGAACAACTAACACAGAAATTAAAGCCAAATTCACAGACAGCAATATGAGTGTATCACCGTTTGTGTTAACAGGCGCCCATAAATTAACAGTAGGGATATTTTGCGTCACGACAAATTTCAAACTGCTATATCTCAGAAACGAAAAGCGATAGCTTCGTGAAACTCTTACCAAATATAAGATATGGCATCATACTTTCTCTACAAGGGAAGCAGTTTGAACTTGTAACATAGGAGTGACATGAAAATGCGGATGAATATCAAAACCAATCACAGCGCTAAAATTAACAAACGAACAACAGATTGGCTTGAATTGTAGACTTATCAAGACTATTAGCACATCTTATTAACTATGCTTCCCCTCAGACGGCCAGAAAAGCTGGAAAACAAAAATTTGCCAGATAAGATTTGTATGAGGAAAATTTCAAATTACAACAAGTTTCATATCACAAACGTAAAGTGATATACTATATAAAGTTTAACAAAATTGGGGACATAAAATTGGACTAGTTTGATAAGGATGCATAAGAATACAATACAAAGTCCTGAAAAATCCAAACGATTTTTTATAGCAAAAGAATTAGTTATTTCTTTAGAAAAAAAAATTATTAAGATAACCGAATATACCACATAAAATAATGAGCTAAAGAGGGTATATATCTTTTCATAAGGCAAAAGTGTTTATCTGTCTATGCTCATATCAATTTAGAGTTGGATCGACTCCAAATGCCCTGAAACGGATTTGGGCCAAAGAGGTCTAGAGGACCTAGGGTCTAAATCCGTCATTTCGATTAGACACGTTTTGATCGTATCAAAAATATATACCCTTTCTAGCCATATGACTGATGGTATAATAAATCCACAAGGAACCTCAAAATTACGGGAAATGTAGATAATATCTGAGAATCCAATTTAGTTTGTAATAAGATTAAAATGTAGCTCCTTAAAGTATGCTCGCTTATACGAACAACTAACACAGAAATTAAAGGGAAATTCACAGACAGAAATATGAGTGTATCACCATTTGTGTTAACAGGCGCCCATAACTTAACAGTAGGGATATTTTGCCTCAATACAAATTTCAAATGCCTATATCTCAGAAACTAATAGGGATAACTTCGTGAAACTTCTACTGAATTGAAGATGCAACAGTGTACTTTCTGTACAAGGAAAGCTGATTAAAATTAAACGGTAGGAGTGACTTTAAAACGAGTTTAAATATCAAAACCAATTATAGCGCTAAAATTAACAAACGAACAACATATTGGCTTGAATTGTAGACTTATCAAGACTATTATCACACCTAATAAACTATGCCTTCTCTTAGACGTCTGAAAAAGCTGAAAAAAATGTGCCAGGTAAGATTTGTGTGAGGAAAATTTCAAATTACAATTAGCCTAATATCACAAACGAACAGTGATATACTGCATAAAGTTTTTACTGAATAGGAGACATAATACTGTTCTAGTTTTATAAGAATACATAAGAATAGAATACAAAGTCCCGAAAAACCCACATTTTTTATAGAAAAAGAATTAGTTATTTCTTTAGAAGAAATATTAAGCTAACCGAATATACAACATAAAATAATGAGCTAAAGAGGGTATATATCTTTTCAAAATAAAAAAAATCAATTTAGAAATGGATCGACTCCAAATGTCCTGAAACGTGTTTGGTCCAAAGAAACATAAGGTCTAAAAGCGTTTTTTCGACTAGGCACGTTTTGACTGTATCAAAGATATATATATACCCTCTCTAGCATTGAGTGGGGGTATAAAAAATCCCTAAGGAACCTCAAAATTACAGTTTGTAATAAGATTAAAATGTAGCTCCTAAAAGTATGCTCATGTGTACAAATTACTGACACAAAAATTAAAACCAAATTCACATGCAGGAATATAAGTGTATCGCCATTTGTGTTAACAGGCGCCCATAACTTAACAGTAGGGATATTTTGCGTCAAGACAAATTTCAAATTGCTATATCTCAGAAACGAATAGGGATAACTTTGTGAAACTTTCACCAAATTGAAGATGCAACATTGGGCTTTCTTTACAAGAGAAGCAATTTAAATTTATACAGTACGAGTGACATGAAAACAGGGTTAAATATCAAAAGCAATTATAGCTCTAAAAGTGTCAATTTAGCAATATATTGGCTTGAATTGAAGACTAATCAAGACTATTAGCACACCTAATAAACTTTGTCTCTTTTTAGACGGCTAGAAATGCTAGAAAACAAAAGTTGGTCGGGTGAGATTCGTATGAAGAAAAAATTCGAATTATAATTCCTTCCATTTCACAAACGAAAAGTGATATACTGTGTGAAATTTTTACAATACGGAAGACATAAAAGTGTACTATTTTTATGAGGACGACCAAGAATGCAATACTTAATCCCGAGAAACTTCATATGAGTTTCTTTAATGGAACTTATTTCTTTATTGGAACTATTAATAAAGCAATGTTAATCATTAAAAAAATACATTATTATTATTATCTTATTTTAAAATTAAACTAACTAAAACTAAAATGCCACAAAAACTAACTAATTGTTGCTATCAACCTGATGGCTATATATAGGATGTATATAATTTGATTTGACATAATTTGTTGTCTAATTACTCTAATGGTACATCATAATATTTTTATCAAACTAAGATCAAATCCGGAGATAGGTAAAATAGCTCCCCCCCTCTTCCCCCAAAAAAGTTCAAAATTTCGCGAACAATTTCTAAATTCCAACCACGAATATTCCCGAAATAGTTGAAATGTGATAAATTTTAGTTTAGGTGCGAAGATGGAAAGAGTAATCCCACTTCTTTTTATACCTCCCCCACAAAGGGGCCACATTTTGAATAATAAATTGGAAAATAGGTGCCCGATTTTAATCGAACTTAGAAAATCTTAATGTGTTTGTCCATGTTAGAGTAAGTATGAAGATGGAATATATAGGGACCACTCTTTTTCGTAACTCTGCCTCAAATTTTTTTAAACAAAACTATATAAATCTTATATTAAGCAAAGGTAGCACCTAACGTAGTTTAAACTGGCTCATCGTAATATTCAGTTAAGACAAGGGTTAGGTTTGAAAACGGACAATATTGCTGTATTCATTTGAATATATATTACTCCCTTATAGTGGGAAACATGTTTTATATTCCAATATTTTTGTGTATATTAGAGGTGGCCTTAAAATACATCTGTCCACTCTTTTTGTTACCTCACCCGTAAAAGTTCAAAAATTTCGAAATATATCATAAATATATATATCATATAAAACCAATCAAGTACCAGATTTAGTTGAAGCTTGGTCCGTGATAATAATGAAGTTAAATCAAGGTCAGAAAATTTTTTTCGTTTTTTTTTTAATTTCACAAATTTCAATTGGACAAAATTAGGACTCGCATGAGGATGTGGGTTTTGGGGTCGCCCTTCTGCTACCTTACCACAAATATAATAAATAATAACCATAACATTCATAAAATGCGAATTTATTCCCCAGTTCTCTTTAAACTTTGCACATTTCAATATTTGCACTATTATTTGATCGAATGTTAAGTTGGGATATGTAGGCCAAATCTTTTGGTACATCCCACATAGAGGGGTACATATTTAAGGGTAGTTATCTGTCAGAAAACCTACTAAAAGTTTCCAACCTTTTTTTTTTAAATAGTCGATTTTAAGCCAATATAGAACATCAAAAAAAACATTTCTTGTGCTAGTCAAAAATTCAAACAAACATATTCATATATTTCGCCTAAAAGTATGCTCTAATTCACTTAACACTAATGTAGTAGAAATATGGAAACTAACAAATTGACATTTAACCAAAATTCTTTTTGCGATACCAGGCGACCATAACTCAGCAGCAGGGATATTTTGCGTGAACATTAATTTCAAATTGCAATATCTCGGAAAGTAAACATGATAACCGAATGAAACTTCTACGAAATGAAAGATGCAATATCGTACTTTCTTTTCAACAAATGAGGTATAGAAAAACTACAGGGAAGTGACCTGAAAACGTTCAGGGACGTATTAATTGAAGTGATTTTGGTACTAGGATGTGGCAATTTTAAACAAAACAATATGTTTTCGTTGAAAATATTCGAAAAATTAATAGAACTGCTTGGAAGCTAAATGTAAAAATAAAAAAAATATATTTATATATAAAAAAATATTTGTCTGAGGTTTAAGTTTGAAGATTAAGTTGATATTAATATCTGTTTCTATTTAAGTTACGATTATTTCGACAATATTTAGCCAGTCACAGTCTTCATATGACCGAGAATTTACTTTACTCAAAGAATTAAAGTTCCCAATAATAGAAATACCTCTTTGCGAAATAAATATTCTAAAATAAACACCCATAGGACAGTGATTCCCCAATTTTTTATCCTCAAGTTTTCAATTATAAAAACTCAATTTCAATGTATACGAACTTCGATTTTAGAAAAATGTAGCATTATCGCCTTTTTTGACATAGCCTCTACATATATAATTTTTTTTTATTATGCTATGAGGTATTGGTCTTTTGAAAGTTTTTTGTTTCATTTTCCAACTCAATAAACTGCAATTTTGCATGTTGGCATTTTACAAAAATAATTCTTATTGATGATATTTTCCCCACATTTGTCGTAATTAATGTCCTTTTTAGCCTAATTTGCTTAAAATTAAAATTTTTATTTTTTGATTTTCGACCAATTTTATTATTTATTACAGCTTTTTATCGGGCTTTTTTGGTTGGATAATTTTTATGATGAGAAACATGCAAAGTTCGGAAGGTCGAACCTCAATTGATATAATCCTTTCATACTTACTATATTTTATCATTAAATCAATAAAAAACAAAAATAATTTTTACTTTGTATAAAAAACATTTATTCTACTATAGTTTATTTAAAAATATAATAATATAATATATATATAAAAATATATGTTGGTTTTTGTTCTTGTTTTGTTGTTCACTTAAAAAAAAATTGTTGTTCTTTTTTGCTTTCTTTTGTTCATGTTTTTTTGTGTGGTTGCCATTTTGTTGCAAATTTAAGTTGTATTTGTTTGTTTTTTATTTATATTGTATTTTTTTGTGTATGTAAAAATAATTTGTTCTTGTTTTTTGTTTTAAATTAAGGTACAACTTAAATAGTACGTTACAAACAAAAGAAAATATTTTGTGTTTTTTGTTCTATATGTTTTGTTTAAATAAAAAACGAAAAAGAAGGAAACTAAAAATATGTATATATATAAAATTAAAACATAGTTATAAACAACAAAATAATAAGAGTTAATAGAAAAAGTATATATATTTTTTTCCAAAAAATTAAATAAAATAATTTCATGAAAGTAAATATATTGTGATTTGTTGTTGTTTCTGTTTTTTTGTTTTTGTTTTCATTGTAGTATAAAACTCGTATATACTAAAAGAAAAAAAATATTATTTGTTTATATAATAACGGCAAGATTGTTTTTGTATTTGAAAATAAAATTAATATAATAAAATAATTTTTAAATTAAATATTAAAGAAAAAAAGAAGGGGGAATTTACAGTTTTTGTTTTAAGAAAAGTAAATAATTTTTTTGTAAATAAATTTAAAGCAACAAAAAATTTTAAGGGAATTTTCTAAGAAAATGAGGAAGCCGTAGGGAATGTTTAAAGTTTTGTCTTTGTTTTAAGAATATGTTGGAAGGATTTGTTTTTTTTTTTTAATTTAAGTTTAAGGTATTTATATTTACAATTGTTGGTGAAGGGGAGTTTTGTTTTCTTGTTTTAAATTTAATGGGTTTTCATTCATTTTGTATTTATTTTTGTTTTAACATTTAATGCATTAATGTTTCAATATGCTTTGTATTTTCCTTTTATAATATAAAACTTCTGTTTTTATTGCATTTTCAAGATTTGTTGTTTTCTCACTTTTTTTTTGTTTTTGTCTCACAAAGATTGTTTTTCGATTAATTTTATTCTTCAAGGTAAGCATCAATTTTAAATTGAGATCTCATATGTGGTTTTAGAAGATTTAAAGAAGAAGAAGAAGAAGAAGACATTTGTGGGTATTGGAAGCAAATTTATGGTGAAATCGTTTCTTTATTTATTTAGCACAATTATTTTTTTTTTAAAGTATCGAAAAACACATTGGAAAGAACTAAAATTATTTAAAAATATAAAAAATTTAAACAGTATAATGGAAAGACTTAACGTTTAACTCAGCTGTATCCAATGCAATCTTATCGTATTGAATTAAGAAAACATGATTTAAAAAGAAATCTTAAATAGAGTGATTTTTGTTGTAAAACAATAACAATTTTCTTTTGACATTAAAACTATTTGTTCATATTTATAAAGAGTATTATATTATTTTTATTATTATAAAGTGGCGCCCAAACAAAAATAAAATTTAGGGTTAGCAAAAACCCTCAAGTGGTTGCCTTTTATTTTTTTTTTCTTAGTTAAATTAGCAATGAATTAATTTCCAATTTAAACTATTTTCAGTTATTCTCTTATTTGCCTTGATTTTTTAATTGATTTGATGCAAAAGACTTAAGACACATACGTTATTGGGAGAGCATCCAAAAGTGCGAAACACAGAGAGTATGGCCTTAAAATGCATGAGTAAGGCAAAAGAGAAGAGAGGCTGACAGCTTCCACAAACAAACTGTATTCCCATTGGGAGAGTTTGAGTTGGCTCATGTGAGTTACAAATCAAAAGACTTAAGACACGAACAGGCATTTGGGAGTCACGTGGTTTATATTTGAAGAGAAATATTATTGAGACAAATAATGGAGAGAGAATGGAGAAAATATTTGTCTTTGCCGTATCAGCAAATCCCCGGAAACAATTTAAATAGGAAATTATTTCTTAGCTTGTTTTCTTTATAAATTGTTATTAATTTGTGTTTGTTAATTTTATCGTTACATCTCGATACTATTGGCACTTAAAGAATCGGTTAATACAATATAAAAAGAATTAATATTACTATTACGATTATTTGTTCGTTGTTGTTTTTTTTATAAGTTATTATAAAAAATGATAATATTGTAATTGCTGCTATTATTTAAATTATTTATTTAAACAAAAAAAAAATTGTAAAGACACATCAATCTCGTTTATAAATATTTTTTGTTGTTCTTCTGTTTATCATTGGACTTAAAACCTAGTTTCTTTCGTATGCAAAAAAATATAATTTCCTTAAGAAAACAGAAACTAAAAAATATATATATTGTAACCTTAGAATTTGTGCATATTTCCGTTATTTTGTTGTTGTTATGTCAATGTTGGCTGGCAAGCAATGTCCAAGGGAACCACTACGATGTTACAATTCCTTTTCTTTTTGTATTATGGCTATTTACAAACATTTGCTGCATTTCCAAGCATTTCGTTTTGCTGCATTTTTTCTTGTTCAATAACTTATTAACTTTAATAGAAAACATCCTCCATTGACTTTGGGGGGGCGGGGGGTTTTTAATCTAATTAGACTGCCATGTTTATTATTAGCATTGCTTGCATTATCAATGATTTTGCAATTCAGTTAATGTGATATCATACAATTCCTCTTCGATTTGCTGGACTTCTAATAAGAAAATATCTTCGTTGCAATAATATGAAATCATATCATCATCAATTTTCGCCGTAATCCTAAAAAGAGAAAATTTGAAATACAACATAAATTTAAAAATAACATAATTTAAAAATAATGATATAAAGAAAAACCAAAAAAAAAATTATAATATAAAAATAATAATATAAAGAAAAATAAAAATCAAGAAAAAACAAAAAAAGATTGTGATGATTTTGTAAACTAGTAAATGCAAAGGTTTTTATAGTGTTTTCTTGGTTTGTAACATGCCATTTATTTTTTTCTTCCATGGCTAACTACAAAGCTTTCCACTTGCCCCAAAACAAACCCCTTGCTCTTTAGATTAGTATGTTTTACATATATTTTTTAATATTTGTTAGTAGTATAGCTTGTATTGCCTTGCTGTTAATTGTGGTTGGTTAAAAACACTTACCCCTTTTTATTTGTTCGATATATGTTATTTATACTCGTTGTTGAGATTTTATATTTATTTTCAATCTGTAATTGAGAAAAATGAGAGAAAACAAAAAAAAAAGTTGATGATGCGTTGTTTCTTTTTGTAGAGTTTTTTTGTGTGTTGTGGTTGGGTTTCGTTCTTGGCCTACTATTTTCATCGATAGTTTAACACACATACAATATATTTTTTTGAAGCAAAAACTCATAGCTTTTTTTGGATTTCTTTAACTTTAAAACCAATTTGAAATAAATATTTTTATTTTAAAAAATGTCAGCCAATTAATAATATTTTTTTTTATAATCAAGGTTCGATTTGAAAATTAAATGTTTAATATTATATTTATAAAAAAATAAATAAAATAAAAAATAGGGCATATACTAGGCTATCTATGAAAAAGAAGTCCAATTGTATTAAAAGTCAAATTCTATCTAGATAGTTACATTTATTTATTCAGTCATTTAGTGAAAGACTTCAGGTTTTCAAAAATGATATAGGATAACCTTTATGCTCCATCACTTACTGTTAAATATAATTGCCCTAAGAAAAATGTCGAGAAAAATATTCTCTATTAAAATACATTGGTGGAAAGACTATGTCATTTACGAAATAAAACAGTATATGAGCGATGCTGGACCTCGCTGAAAGAAAAATTACTCGGAGTTTCTTCAATTAATTCACGAAAATAAAAATATAAATAAAACAACGTGAACACCCTATTAATTTTAAGAGAAATGAGTTCTTTCTCTTCCTGTGCATCAATACTCTAGTCACGAGAGAAATTTTAGCTACTCTTTGGTATATTTTGTTTCTCAGAAATAATTTTACTAATATCATAGATGGGCAAGTATGCACGCTATCGGTTGTGTCTCTAATCAGGACTGCTCAAAACCGTTTACTACCACAGGAGTCCAAAAAAGAGATTATTTAAGAGAAAACAAAAAATGTATTTTTCTTTATATTTATCCATTCATTTGAAATGTTTTTGAACTTGGATATGGTCCAAAATTATTAATAAAGTGAATTTTTATAAAAAATGTGTTTTTTATTGGTTTTTTAAAAAACAAAGAGAAATTGGTGGACTGGTGAGCAAGGTCATGTTTTTGAGCAGCGCTGATTTATATGAAGTTTTTTTTAAATATTTCTTTCCGAGAATAGTCAATTTGGTAAACAAATTATGAACTGCAATATCTCAAGCATGTCTCGAATAGATGTTCTCTCTTTAGGAGAGAATCATTTTTTAAGTGTTTGTTTTCTCTTTCGAGACGATCATTTTTGTTTACCATAAACTTTATGCGAGGCAAATTGCCCTGCTCGAAACCGTGTGTTAGCTTAAAAGTCCGCTAATGAGAACATTTAAGAGAAAATAAATATTCTGTTTTTCTTTGATTTTTTTTTATTTTTTTTTTTTCAATATGAAGTTGGTCCAATAGTATTAATGAAATAAACAATGTTTAAACATTGAATTGTTAAAGACTTCTAAAAGCAAAGAGATATTGACACTTGAGCGCGCTTGTTCTTAACCTTAGATGAACAAGTATGTACGCTAGCGTTGATGTCTCTTATTCTCCGTCATGAGTAACAGACAATAAACAGACCTATGCGAATAATTTTCACAATTGTTACTATAAAATAATTTGTGAGATAACTGTGATTGTTTCTTTTTTTTAATTATTAAATAAGCAAAAATTCAACATAGGAAACTTATTTCAAAATTCTCTAAGTATTTCTCTTTTACAATTTAGTGCATTTATGTTCTGTAAGTCTCAAATATATTTTCTTTCTTTGGGAGAACTATTGTATATTTTGATTTATTGTAATAATGATTTTTTGGGAAAGGTGAGAAGTTAGTGTGATTCTCATTTACTTGAGAAGGCTACGATACTTATGAAGCTAATTTTTTCAAATAGATATGTAATTGAAATTTATGAAACATATCATAAGATTTCATTGGACAGAAATATATGAAGAGATTTTCTCAGAAAAATTTAATTGCCTCTCTGTAAAAATGGCATGTTTTGGTCTGTAGAGAATGTATTGTATTTCTTGGATAAAAATAATACGGAATAATTTTAAAAATTCTCTTGCATTGTCAAATATGGCAATATTGTACCAAGAAGTACTCATATCTGCTTTAAAATAAACAAATAACTATTTGAATACCGTTCATCAAAAAAAAAAAAAAAAAAAAAAAAAAAAAAAATGTCTTAGCCATGAATAGACAGAATGGTATTGTATGGAACCATATTTAAAAAAAATGGTTTTCTGTCTGTATTAGGTCATATATTGTCTTAAAAACTGTTAAACTGTATACTTCCAAAAAATCGCAGACGAAATAAAGAAGTCTCTTGAATAACTTATTTTTTTAAATAATAATCGTAAATACGTTTATGAGTTCATATTCAACAAATTCTTCATTTTCAGTAAATTTGGGTTCATGACTGAATTTAAAAAATATATATATTTTTTGTGTCATTTAATCCATTCTATTCGAATTCAAATTGTGTCCCTACTATTTCAAACACGTTGAATTCAACTCTAAGCGATTAAAAATAAATTTTTCTCTTCTACAAATAAAATTTCATTCGAACCCTGATTCTTTAATACGATTCTTTTCAAGTGTACTGGAATAAATAGTGTTTTTCAAAATTGTTCATCAGTGTCTCTTGTTGTTGTTGATGAATGATGAGCTAAATAATAATTCTCTCAGACTAAAATGTATATCTAATGGATGTAATGACTCATGGGATATTAAATGAAATGCTTGCAATTGGCATTTCTTTTTGAAATACCAACAAAAAATTAATTTGAATTTGATTTTTCTCATTTCACACCCTGTGGGTCCCACACAAACGAGTACAATATTCGATTAGATTTGATATGGAACGGAACATAGCAAGTGTCTTATTTTTTCTTTCGCTAATTTACCACAATGTTGACAGTAGTATTACAATGTGTTAGACAAACATATATGTATGTATTTATGGTAAGTACTTGTTGATATTGGTTGTTCTTCACAATTATTAGAAAAAAAAAAAAAACACATACGCACACACATATATTTGGATATGTTACACCACCGTGGTTAAGAAAAACAAGAGAGAGAGACTAGTAGAGTAGTAAAGTGTATATTCTAATATCTGGTGTGTGGTTGAGTGTGTGTTTGTTTGAGTTGGTAAGTAAGAAGTTGATTAGTGGTGTTTAGGTGTTGCTGGCGATGCTGGGTTGTTGTTTGCCATTTTTAGTTGTGTTGGCGGTTTTTTTTTTTTTTTTTTGGTTTTTTCTTTGCTGAATACTTATGACTTGAAATATTAACTCATAAGTACATCGGTTTTAAGAAGTACACAACATAAAATTACCTACTTCGTTTGGATATTGCCACTGTAATTCATCGTCCATTGGTGGCTGTTGTTGATGTAGTTGTTGGTGGTGGTGGCTATGGCTGGTAGTTGTAATGGTGGCTGTGGTGCACTGTTGCTGTTTATTTATTTTTATTTGATTTTTTGTATTTGTTGTTGTTGTCGTTTGTTCCCCACAGAAATTAATTAATATATTAATTATAAGAAAAACACTTAAATTATTAACCAGTAGTCAGTTGTTGTAGTTGCTGTTTTGTTGATTTTTTGTCATACGTTTTAACAGTATAAAATGCATTAATGTGCTTTATTAGCGAAATTTGATTTAAGAAGAGAGCTGTTGTTGTTTTTATGAGTGTGTTTGTGTGTGGTATTTGTGTAATGTTAATCTGTGTTGGTTGGATAGTAATGGTGCTGTTGATGATGGTGGTGGTGGTAGTGGTGATTGTGCTACTGTTTGTTTGGCACACTGTTTTATGATTGTGGCATTTCGAAATGTTTGATGGGTGACTGGCTATAAGACAATTAAAAGACCTGATCTTTGATAATGATTTAATTTTGATTAATTTTGTTATAACAATTAATAGATTAAACTAAAGAGAGAAAAAAAAAATAACACAATGAGACCCTGTGACTAATTCGTACATTTTGGTTTATTTTTCTTTACGTAACGTAGTTTTGCTTGCTTTAGCTTGAAAAAAGGCCAATTGTACCAACAAACCAAAATGGACAAAGTAACGAGTTAAAGAGTTAAGTTATTATTGGTGTTGCTGGTGTTGATTGGTTGGTTGGTGGTATTTGCAGTTGGTTTGAAACCCCATTGTTGTTGCTTTTTTTTAAATTTAATATTAGACAAATAATTATTAATTGGCGATGACATTTTTTTGGTGGTTTTTGGTTTTAAAGTTATGAGTTTTTGTGTCTCTGATTTTTATATTGATTGATATACATATTTTTGTTGTTGTTGTTGTTGGT